TTAACAACAAGGTTGCCAGATTCAAAATCAACATACAAAAACCAACAACATTTCTCCACACCAGCCATAACCAGCTGGGAAATGTCATTTTCATAAAAGGTGGAATGTTTTGTATGATGGCTAGAACTTACTTTCCGGTGGTTCGGGGGTGGGGGGGGGGGAGTGTATGTGTGAATGAACATGAAAGAGAGAATTCACCAATATTAAAAACTGGAAAATTCAAATGAAAGGTATAAGCGTGTTCATTCTTTCCACTTTTCTCTCAGTTTGACATAAAAAAAAGTTGGGATAAAATACCACTTACAATAGCAATAAAAATTATAAAGTATCTAGAAATTAAGTACAAGGCCTCCATGGAGAAAACATTAAACTCTAATAAAGAACATAGACAATGACCTGAATAGACAGATGTTCTTGTATGGAACTACTAGTACATAATATTAGAAAGATGTCAAGTCTTCCCAAATTAATCTTTAACCTCAATGCAGCCCTCATCAAAATTCCAGCTGGATTTTTTTAAGGAACTCAATGAGTTAAAATGTAAACAAATAGCTAAGTCACTTAAGAATTAAGACTTAGAGATGACCTTTGCCTTAATGCAATGACCACAAAGCCATGGCGTTACAAACAGCACTGCTGGGACAGACTGATAAAGAGGCGCCAGTTCAGAGGCAGCCCTGGGACCCAACGCGGGGGACAGATGTGGATATGCAGCTGGTGGTGCGGCTCCCTCTATGCCTCAGTCAGCTGGGTCTTTACTTAATGCTGCATTTAAGAATGAGCTCTCTCTGGTTAGAGTCCTAAATTTGATGTGTACAACTATAAAAATAACATAAGAGGCCTAGCCAGTTTGACTCAGTGGTTAGAGCAGTGGCCCACAGACTGAAGGTCTTTGGGTTTGATTCCAGTCAAGGCCCCATCAGTGTTTCTCTCTCTCTTTCTCCCTCTCTCTCTCTTTCTCTCTCTCTCTCCCCCTTTCTTCCACTCTCTCTAAAAATTAATGGAAAAAATGTCAGGTGAGGATTAATAACAATAGCAACAACAAAACCCAGCAGGAAAGTGCGCAAAAGAGGAGCAGCCAAGTACAGAAGAGGAAACTCTGAAATTTAACAGCACATGAGGAGGTCTTCTAAATAATTAATGATCACAAAAACAACAACAACAACAAAATTAAAACAAGGAGATAGCTTCTGGCTGGGTACCTCAGTTGGTTAGAGCAGTTGTCCTGATACGCCAAGGTTGTAAGTTTGATCCTTGGTCAGGGCACATACAAGAATCAACTGGTGAGTAAATGGATAGGTGGAACAACAAATCTCTCTCTCTCTCTCTCTCTCTCTCTCTCTCTCTCTCTCTCGCTCTCTCTCCATTCTTCTCTCTCTAAAATCAATCCATTTTTTTAAAAGAGAGATAGCTACACTTATAGACAAATAAAAGTTAGAAAGCTCCGGAGTGCCATGGGACCCTCCCATTTCTGAACTCTCAGGAGAATACCATAGAAACCCCCTCCAACCTGAAGATCTGTGTGTTTGGCCTCCTCGAGACAGTCTAGATGGGGGTGGGGGGGACTTGAATATTCCACCCCAGACACCTGGCCTCAGGTGTTCTTAGAGTTCTCAAAAAAGAGATGGACAAATAGATCTGCTGGGGGCCTTTAAGGAAATTATTATTTTAAGAGTTTCACAGGGGAGCCAGGTTACCTACCCGAGCGTGGGAGACAGGGGATCAGGCCTGGAGCAGAGAGATTCTGTCTGCTGCGGAACCAGAA